TAGAGAAATCGACTTCCTAGCCAGTTGGATGACGAGTCTCGGGAGTCCACAGAATGTAAAACTAGATGCAGAAATAATTTTTTTTAATGTGCTCCATAAATATAAAGATTCAAAGAATCCCACAAGCCTACCCTAAAAAGCAATGTTCATATCTAATTCCCAGAATACCATTAATACCTACTCGTGCCATCTAATTTTATTTTAAGTGTAAGATTCCAAGAAAACCATACCCCAAGACTAATACATATAAAATCAGAAAACACCTCTGAGCACAGAATGTTTCCAATCACCCTCTGAAAAACAGAGAGAGAGAGAGAGAGAGATTAAGCCTTTCTGCACAAACACAGCCACGGCCCATCCACTATGCTTACTCCGAGCTAAGCCTCCTGCAATTTAAGGCAGACATCCATTTATTACCTAGCTGTGTTTGATTTTTATATTCCTTAAATTTTATTGTGCCAGGAGTGGGGCCAACAAAAGATAAAGGAAAGCAAAATCTAACAATCGCCTCCATAATCTCATCTGTGAGCTCCTTTATGAGCAATTGCATGGCCAATTTTGATCTCCAAGTAATGTCAGCATAATAAAAGCAAACAAGCTCTCCTCCCTACATACACATCCTACACCACCCTGATAAAATGCAGAATTAGTTCATTACTGATCCTAATAGAGATCATTACCTCAGCCATTTCCACCGTGGGCTGCTAATCAGCAGGTCGAAAGAAAGACACAGAGAAAGGTTCATGTGTAATACGTTCTTTCCCCCATTTCGATCCCCTTCTTCCGAAAATGGGTCTGCTCCAAAAGACAGGGGAAAGGCGAGAAAACGTGAGCCAGTCCTCTGAGGAGAGGCTTCCCAAGGCCTGTGATTTGCTGACATGTGGGGAGTTACGATGTTACTAGAACAGCCCCGATGACAGCAATACTATCCCACATGGCTCCTAGGACGTCCAGAACAATCTAAGGGATAATGATAAACTTCACATGTAATGGGACAGGGCCCCGCCTGACACACCGAGCTGCCAGGCACGTGAAAGAAACAATATTAACTTGATTTAAATGTGGGATCCCTTCCAGAAGGCTTAATTATCTATTGTATTACCACATTCCTGTTATTCAGCAGCCTCTTCTGTCTCAGACTTAGGTCCAACTACAGGATTTGTTTGGAACATATTCAGGGAAAACTCCAAAGTAACCAGATCATAGAGGACTCAGTTAAATAGGGAACAACAGTTATATAAATAGAAGTCCCCCGGGCTGGAAAAATGTTCTGGTTGTCTGCTAACTTTCAGGAATGCTGAAATCCAGTTTTTAAGTACCCACACCTATAGCGTGCTAATGTGTTTTATCTGACATAGTACAGCTTTATCAATTTGGTAAATGTTACTATCCCACCTAACTACTTTGATCACATTTCATGGACAATGAAGGTCACCTCCAGTTCTTAATTTCTGAGATGTTCATAAAACAGTTTGCTACATTCCAGCCTTAACTGCTTATTTGTTCTGGGTAATCAGAGGATAAGTTATTCCCAAGGCTGTTACAGAGTTTGAGACAAACCTTGAACAAAACATCCCACAAGTCTTTCAATAAATGGCTGCGTGTTCATGACGCCCCGGTCGATTCAATTTTTTTTAAAAAATTAGACAAAGTTGGTGTTGGACATCATGAAGCTGTACCAATTACAGTGAAACCTGAGAAAGCCAGAACTCAATGGGACTGCCTTGTTTTTCTGGGTCTTGCAAGTTTTCCGCCTTTGACAGGGTGCAGTCTTACCATTTTTCTATCTCTCGTTTTAGTGGAAAATATTTGTGTTTTCCTTCTCTGACAGGTTTCTGCCTTACACAGGTTCCAGCTTCCACAGGTTTTACTGTAGTTGAGAGACTGGGATTTTCACTTTTTAATAGGCTGCCTGACATCTCAGATATGCAGCTAATAATTCCAATGTAAAACCGCCCATCAGCCAGAAATGCACATACAAAGGGCTAAAATAAATAAACTTTCTTTGTTAATATTTGCGACCCTCACAAAAGATTGCACGTTAGCTACAGATTCCTTTCATTTAAATGTATAGAAATATCATTTGAACTTCGTCAATTTTGGAAACAAGGGCATTGCCCAAATATTTGCTTTGTATTAATTGCTCTAGAATTTATCATCATTGTCCTACCACTTCAGTCTCGTTTTCCTCTCCATTTACCTTGCCTGGGTCTCAAATTTTAAAAAAGATCAACCAAAACGTATTTGTTAAACAAAAAAGTATACTATCATATTATCTGCCCACATCTTGCTCCCTGTATTAGCTTCATTGTTATTGTCTAAAATTGAGTTGTATCCCTCTGGGGGATAAAGGTCTAGTCATTCCAGACAGCTTCTGTTTCATCCCTGTCCTGCACTCCAAGTAGAGTTGGTGTTTGAAACATGCTTGACTGTTAGGGTAACACAGATAGGAAAGGTACTAGGCTATAAGCCTCCTGAAGGCAAGATTTGAGCCTTTTTCTCACCTGCTAGCCCAGTGCTGAAAAAAAGCTTGTTGTGATTGAAAGATTGTCCTGAGCCTAATTACAAGCAAACAAACAAAAAGCCTCTTCTTTCTCTCCCAGAGCCTTTACCATGCAGACGAATACCATTAAGAATATCAAATATATTCAAGCCCTGTTTTGTTGGAAGAAGAATGGGATAGGGGTAGAAGAGGAGAAAAAAAGAAAGAAAATTAGTCTAAAAAACAACTGAGGAGGCTGAGCACAGACCAGTGCTGACGGTGTGCCATGAGCGAGAGTACAATTAACTCGATTCTGGACATTCATGTTTCCAGAAAATATATAAAGATTGAAATTTAAACCTTCGTAACAACAACACCTCTCTGACCACTGTAGCTCACAGCCCTCTATAAAATGTTCTGGCCAACAGCTGGCAAGTTGATCCCTGTAATTTTCCCTTTGCAGAAATAGCTCTGTGAGAAGAGAACTATCTCATGGGCTAATAAACCCCAAACCTCGAAGAACCTGGAGGGCTGAAATGGAAGGGACATTGTTGTGTTAAGTACTTTACAACAACTGTTTCTTCTCCTCTTGACACAGCCTGACTTCCTTAAAGAAGATTTGACTGGCCAGACAGCTGTGTTGACCCTGAAGCCTTCTTTGAGTTGTGATTTTTTTTTTAACAAACAGAATAGAAATTCACAATGCAAATCCTTTCCTAAGCTCCAATACTTTTGAATTTGCTAGTGTTCTGCCTTAAAGATGTGCACACTAAAAGATGTGGACACTTCAGTAATCTATAAGCAGAAAGATAAAGATTAGGTCCATACCACACTCAAACCTTTACGTGAGAAGCGAGCAATCAACCAGGAGCTTTGTCTAAGGGTGATACTTGAAGTTGCGTGGGCGAAATCGGGTCAAGCACCCAAAAAATGCAGTTTTCTCTCAGATACTGTGGCACCAAACAAACGGCAAAGAACAGACACAGGCATAACTTCTTTCAAAAATGTTAATAACAGTTTTCACTTTGTGAAGCGGGCATGCAGAGTTTTCAGTTCTTCATATATTTCTGCATTGCCAGCCCCTCCAAAATTGAGCACGTATTTTTTTTTTAATCTGAAAAATGTAGTTATTATCTTTTCAAAGCGACAACAACAAAAAGTGCCCAGTACTGTTTCCACATGGGGGAAATATTGAACCATTCTATGGAAAAGGAGCACGGAGTAACAGAAAGAATTAGGTTTAACCGTTCCGTCAGTTTTGGTAAACCTCATAGCTCAGGCAACATGGAAAAGAAGGTATTTTTGTTCTTTCTCAATGCGTTTTGTCAGCGTGAGACTTTCCCCGCACACCCCTTCTTAGCACGTTTTAAATAACATGTAAAGAACTGCTTTTCAAGCACACTAACCCTCCCTTGATTATCCTTACATAGTGCTGTCCCTTTTATTCACCAGAGACAAATGCAGAATTCCTCTGCGCGTGCACGCGCGCACGCGGTCACATATACCACTCCTAGAATTCAAAAGCAAAGGCCTTCGTTTCTGCCACCTTTCTCTCCTTCAATATCCGCCACAGCCCTGCGAAGCCAATGGCTATTAATTAGCCGTTTTCACAAGGAAAAGCAGTTCCCTCTCCCTACATCCTGAATTCTTCTGTGCTTGCCTAGTGAGAACTGGGAAATCCCTTCAACTCCTAGCCTCATGCCGGCTTTACGCATTGCAGAAATCTAGATTCGAAATAGTCTGCTATCTTAAATGGCTGCCATACCTGCCTCCCAATTCTCCTCAAAACACACCATGGCGACGGGAGGGAACTAAATCTGCTGCCTGGCAGAATTGCATACCAATACTGGGGCTACGAGGAGGCGTAGGTTGGAGGAGGGTGCGTCAGGTCAGGCCCCAACTTCTGGCCTAACAGCCCCTGCTCGCGGGGGCTTTGGAAAAACGGGGGGTGAGGGAGGCAGTGAGGGGGGCCAAAAATGGTGTGCACCGGGCTCAGAGGCAGGGTCAGCAGCGCCATTTCCAAGCCGATTCCGTCGGAATCCCAGCCGACAAACCCGAGCGCGAAACTCGCGCACGGGACTGAAGCCGTGAGGTCAATACAGCCTCGTCGCCCGGCACACGCGCGAGGAGACAGGGGCCACTGGCAACCCACCGGGCACACCTGGGAACGGGGGGACGAAGCTTGATGGGATCAAAGCCCCACAGAGGAGTGGCCTCTGGAAATGGACCCAGTCAGGGAAAGGGCCTGCGAGGGCTGAAAACAAGGCTGGCGGACCATGGAAGGCAGCAACAGCGCGTGCTTCTGCAGGGCCCGGGCCGTGGACGCGCACACCAGCGCGGATTTTTGCGGCCCTTCAAGTATAGAAAAGAGGGTGAGAGGGCGTTCTGCTTCTCTGGGAGGGTTTGGGTGCCTCTTGTACCTTCCGACAGCGAATGTGGGTAAGGAGGTAGAAAGAAAGTCACCGGCGCACGCTGATGCCTGTGCGTGGGATCACGCTCGAGCGGCGCTGCCACTTACTTCTCATAGTCATACTTGCAGTACAGTTTCTTGTCCCGGTAGAAGCAGGTGGTCTCTAGGGGCTCTTTGCAGGAGGCGCACTGCACACACTGCTCATGCCAGAAGCTGTCGTTGAGCCGCAGCAGAAACCTGTCCGAGATGACCCGCTGACAGCCCTCGCAGACAGACTTGGGGCTCACCGCTCTGCCTGCAGCCGCAACAGACGTTCATGAGTGAGCCGGACCCGCCCCGAATCCCCGACAAACCCGGCCCTGACCCGCTCCCGATCCCTCCACACCCATGAACTGCCCCCCCCACACACACACACACACAAACACCCCGCGCTGTGCTGACCCTCTCCTACCCCCAGGGAGTCCCCTGATAATCAACCTAGCCAAGAATTGGAGGGTAGAGAAAAATCAAACCAAGTGACGCTTCCAATAAAGGGCGATTTTGTGGAAAAGGTTTAAGCCCTATCGGGGAGGGAGCGGAAATCAGTAACTGGCCTTTAATTATCAAACATACCCGGGTAAGCGCGCAAATGTGCAAGCGTCCCGTAAAATTAGACTAGAAATAAATTTGTGCTCAGGTTTATCACACAGTGATTAATCATTAAATCACTCACTATGCTTGTCTCTATTGACCATTTTTAAAACTGAGTCGATAAAAAGACTTTTTGTTTCTTTTGTTAAAACGTAATTTTGTTCTTTTTTGAGGGGGAACTTGATTTTTTTTCTTCCTAAAAAGTCCTGTGCATACGAAAACATGGTAACTGTCTCTTCCAAGGCAAACCCAGTGTTGTTCAAACCAATGAACTCCAAACTGCTGTGTCTTGGCTGCCGTGCAAATTGCAAATGAGGTTTTTTTTTATATATATATATAATTAAGAGATGTCAAGATAAGGGGAAGGAAAAAAAATGGTGAAAGATGCAGGGCGCAGAGATGCCGCGGAGAGTCCCGGGCAGGATTTCCAGCTTCGGGCGCGCCAAGCAGCCCTGCATGGGGATGAAACCGATCCCAAACCGACTGCGCAGACAGAGTCCGCTGTCTTACCCCTTGGACTTTTCTCTGTTAACGTTCCTTTGGTTTTTTTGTTTTTTTGAGTTTTGTGTGTGTGTGGTGGGGTTGTTTGTTTTGTTTTCTCTTTCCTTTTTTGAGAGGGGCCTTGGCTGCCTCTTTAGGCACTATTCACAGCTATTTAAGGAAGACCTTGTCCCCAGTAACAACGCTCTCGAGCTTGCTTTCCAAAATGGTCCTGATTCCTCCCAATTTCTTGGCTAAGCTCCTCTCTCTTTATCGCAGGTCAGGCTCAAGAGCGGGGCTGGAGGCTTTGGGCTGCAGGCAGGAGTGTGGCTATGTAAAGCAGTGAGATAGTTCTCAGTTTTAAAACTCCCTTTCCATTCTGCTGGGTCTCGGCGTCCCGGGACACGAGCCGGGGGTTGGGAGAGGACGTGGGGCGAGCGGAGCACACAGGGCGCACGCAGTGTATGTGCACAAATTAGCGTGCGCTCGGCGCCCCGGCAGCGCCTGCTCTGGCCCACGCACCCTTCGGAGGCTGGACAGAGAAGGGACGTTCCTGAAAGGGGGGCTGAAAGAGGGGAGCGCAGTGCGCGTCATTTCGTTTCATCTGGGGTGAGGGGTGGGAGATTCCTTTCCGGATATGGTTTCTCCAGCCCAACTGTCTCATCCTCCGCCTTCACCCCGCTCTAGCGGTTCCAAATGAGGGAAGGAGGTTTAAGTGACAAAACGAAAATCTCTCCCTGTAAAACACTAAAAATGAAACACCCGTTCCCCAGACTTGCAAGCACTGAGGGGGGAAAAAACACTCGCAGCAAGAATCCTTGGCCCCAGCTCTGGGAGACCCGCGCGTGTGGACCCTTTGGCTCGTCGCTCCTCCACGGTCGCTGAGAAGGGGCTAGGGGGCGGGGGGAACATGCCGGACCCGGGATCCGGCTCCAGTTAATTAAAACCGAAGAGAGGGCCCCGCCGCGGGGGCTAATCCCCGCGCGGCGCTGCCCATCGGCCCGGAAAAGCCTATCGGCCGTGCCTGGAGCTGAAATTGGGGCTGGAGTTGGTGGGGGCGAGAAATTGCCTCGAACTTGGGCGCTCCTGGCTTCGGGTCTCGGATTCCCGCCCTTGGGCCGCCGAGAAGAGGACGGCATTTATGAGACGTCGATCAGCTCTGTGATTAAAAACCCAGTCTTGAGTATTTTTAATCACTTGCCACTCAGACGCCTGCAAACAAGCTCGCCAGCCCCTTGCGGCCTTGGGGAATTCGGTGCCCGATGCGTGAGGCCGCAGGCACCTTGTTGGTTTGGGGTAGGGAAGCTAACCCCCCGGAACGGACGGACGGGCGGACAGAGAGTGGGCTCAACTGAGTGCATGAAGCGAAGCGCTAGCTCCCGAGAGCTGACCAGGTCCCAGTGAGGGGGGCTCCCGGGCCCAAGGCCTGGCAGAAAGAGGGTGCGCCCGGGGCGCATGGCCTAAAAGCTCACCCAACAGCGAGGAGAAGGAGGCCGAAGTCTCGATGGCGCTTTGGAAATTCTCTTCCATCTTCAGGCCGTCCAACATGATCGGGCCAGGCCGGGTGGACCTGCGGAAAAGAGGAAGCCACGCGTCTAGCGTCCGTGCCCGCTGGGACGCGGCGCCCGAAGCCACCGCACTCCTGGGAAAAGACAAAGGGAGTGTCCAGGACGACCAGAACGAGCCAGGAGAGTAGAGTCCAGCCAAGAGAAATGTGGGGTAGGGGAGAGAGACAAGTCACAGAGAACTGCTCTGACTGATCTGATGTCACTCGAAGTCAACGCGTTATGTACTTAGGCCTCCGCCCCCCAACGGCGTTTCTCCTTCCCCAGCTCTCCCACCCCCCCGCCCCGAGGCCCCAGGTTTCCTATCCCGAGTCCGACTCCGCCCCAACCTACACTAATATGGCCCTAGGGACGCCTGTTCGGGAACACAGTTACCAAGGTATGAAGGGATTAAAAGGAGTAAGTGCTCTTCCTCGCGGGGCTGGCCCAGGCACGCGGGACTACGGGGTCTGCAGCCAACTCCCCAGCCGTTCCCGCGGTGGTCCTCACCTGCCACGGCCGGGGAGGGGCAGAGTAAGCGACCCAAAGACCGTCCCGCCTGCTCCGGGACTCCGAGCGTGCGCTCTGCTGGGGGGCGCGCGGGAAGGTCCGCCAGCCAGTCGGCCGGTGTCGGGAATGTCTGCAGGAGCAAAGCAGTCGCTTCGGGGAGGAGCCGCGACTGGCCCCGGCTCCCTCTTGGATGCATTTCAAATCAACTTTTCAGAAACACGCCCGCCCGAGCCGGATCGTAGGAACCGGCAGTCTTCCTTACCTGATGGGCGAGCTCGCTGGCCGCTGCAGGAGCGGAATGAAGTTGCCGAGCGCCGGGGGACGCTTCGGCCCGGGAGGCGTCAGCCCGCGAGGCTGCAGCCGGAGCAGCCGCCCCCGGCTCCGGCGCGCCCGAGAGGGAGCCCGAGCGAACGCCGTCCCTTGGCTTCGCTCCTTTGCGCACCCGGGCCGGGAAGTGGCCGCGGGCGCCCAGCCTTCTCGGGACGTCCCGCCAGCCCGCGTCGCTTCTCAGGAGAGGGGGATGTCGGATGCCTCTCTGAGGCTAGGAGGGAAGGCTGGGGCCCGGAGTCCTGGGTGCGAGTCGGGCCCTGCTTCACTCGGGCGGATCCGCCTGCTTCTGACCGGGGCCGCGCCGCTGCGTGCGCGGCAGCGGGAAGGGGGTGGGGTGCTCAGGGCGGGGGGCTGGGAGCGCGTCCAGTGGCTGGGCCGCGGCGCTCCCTCTCCGAGCAGAGCTGCGCGGCCCACCTCGCCGCGGCGGCGGTGCGCCCCTCCGCCTCTGCAACCTCCCGGGCACGCAAAGTTTCCTCCCCTCCAAGTGTAACTGCTAACTCGTAGCGCGCGGGCCCGGTCGCGGTCCGCGGCTCCGCGCCCTCGCTGGGCCCCAGTCGAGGTCTCCGCGCCACCTGGACCGCGGCGCCAGCACGCTCCTTGCCTGGCGGCTCTCCGACCACCGCAAGTGATGAAAGCACGGGAATCCTCATCCCGGCCCGGGCCGCGCCAAGAAATCGCTTGCCCGGAGTAGTTTGCGGGCCCAGCAGCTCGCAGCTCCTCCAACCCCTTCTCCATCACCTGGGGCTCCCGCAAGTTCCCAGCTTCCCGCCTTTTATTTCGAAACCGCGTTTTAGATGGTTCACCAATAGAGTGTGCAGATGCTATAGGACCCATGGCCAAGGCTTAAAACCAGGCTCCTGGTAGAGATTAGATGGAATCTGACCTCCAGACGGTGAGCCCGCAATGACACTGAAGTCAGTTTAGGTGGCATTCTTAAGGCAACAAAGTATCTGGGGGAAAATGTGAATTCCTCAAACCTCTGACTTCAGAGCCTCCAGGGCTAGGGGCAGGGTCTTAATCGTCTATGTATCCCGGGAGGTTGGTATAGTGCCTGGGCCCGAGCACATGCTCAATAAATATAACACTGGCTAACACTTATGGAACATTTATTTTGTGCTAGGCTTGGTTGCATGGTTAACTCATTTAATCTTTACAACAATCCAGATGGGGACAATATTACAGGTGAGGAAAACAGAGCACGGAGTCCAAGTCAGGTCACCTGAATACAACAGAAAGGTTAAATTCAGTCGGATTCTCAGGGGCCCCCTGATTACCCATGGACTGAGCTGAATTGGCATTGGCAGGCACTTTGGCAAAATGAACCCAAGCAGAGGAGATGCCACATAGCAGACGTTTTCTATTACCTTCTCCAAGGACAGGACCACATCCTTATTTAAAAAAAAAAAAAAAAATAGCGCTGGCAGCAACTTGCTCCAATTTGTTTTAGGAGCGTGACCTCACTCACCATTCTAAGTGCTTTCCACCAGCAGGCACAAGCCAAACACTCAATATGACTTCAGAACAAGGGAAAAGGGCAGAGACTTTAATACTTTACATTTGTGTGCTGCTTTATACTTTTCAGGATACTTTCACATACTTGATTTTGCTTGATCTTTACAACAAACTTGTGAGGTAAGCAGAACAAATAGTTTTATCCATTGTTTAAGATGAATCTTTGGGGCTTAAGCAGCTAAGAGATTTGTCCAATGTTGTCTAAATGGCTGGTGGGATCTCTTGACACATGTTCTTTGTCCTTTTTGCCACCTGGGGTACGCAGGGTGTGAAAGAAAATATGAATTACAAATATTCTTACGAAAATATATAAAACAGAAGTGAAAAACCATTGCCATCGAGTTGATTCCAACTCATAGCAACCCTATAGGAGCGTGTAGAACTCCCCCGCAGAGTTTTCAAGGAGTGGCTGGTGGATTTGAACAGCCGACCTTTTGGTTAGCAGCTGAGCTCTTTAGAAAAAATAGAACAGGGTGAATACAACAATAAGGGATATTTTTAAATGCCCAAATGACTTTTGAATTCTCTACAGGTCTTGAATTTATGAAACATGTTTAACTAGTGGTAAGAGTATTCGTTTTAGAGAACAGCCTTAAAGGAGATAGATTCTCATTTGATCTGGGGCTTAAAACCTTTCAAATGGCCTGTGCATTTGGAAGGAAGCATGATTAGTGTAGGGTACACAAGCTTTGGGTGGAAATGTCTCTTCCCAGCTGGCCCTTGGACACCTTCAGGATGGGTACCAGGTCTCACAATCACATTGTTAGCCCCACCACCCTTAGCAAGGAGCCCTGGTGATGCAATGGTTAAGTGCTCAGCTGCTAACTGAGGACAGAGATTAGAACCCACCAAGCAGCTCCGTGGGAGAAAGACCTGGTGATCTGGTCCTGTAAAAACTACATCCTAAGAAGCCCTGTAGGGAAGTTCTACTCTGTCACACAGGGTTGCTATGAGCCGAAATCAACTCAATGGCACCTAACAACAACAACAACACCACCACCCTTAGCACAGGGCCAGGCACATATATGTGACTAACAAATACCGTTACCTCAATTGATGGATGAACAGAGCTGTCACTATAGGAGGCGGCACTGCAGTGGACAAGAAAGTCATTTGGCTCAGGAATAGGAACTCAGTTCCATTCCCAGCCCTGCCTCTGAGTCAACCTGATACATCAATCAGCTCACCCTTCTGGATTTCAATTCCTCCTCTCTGAAATGAAAAGCCCTAGTGGCACAGTGGTGAAGAAAAAGGTCGGCAGTTTGAATCCACTAGCCACTCCTTGGAAGTCCTATGGGGTAGTTCTACTCTGCCGTAAAGGATCGCTATGAGTTGGAATCTACTCAACGGCAACAGGTTTGGTTTGGTTTTCTCTGAAATGAAGGGGCTACACTATATATGTTCTGTAAGGTCCTCCATAGTCTAAAATTTGTGACATCAGACCAGCTTTGGTGAGTGGGGTGGGAAGTAAAACCGACAGGTCCTTAACATATGCCTTGTGGTATTTATTTAGGTATAGATTTGGGTGATGAGTCTAAGCAATATGTCTAAACCAATGAAGATACCCTTAAAAACCAAACCCGTTGCTGTCAAGTTGATTCCATCTCATAGAGACCCTATAAGACAGAGTTGAACTGCCCCGTAGGGTTTCCAAGGAGCGGCTGGTGGATTTGAACTGCCGACCTTTTGGTCAGCAGCTGTAGCTTGCCAAGGCTCTTAACCACTACGCCACAAGATACAATTTGTTTATTTGGAGTTTTGTCTTTTATGATTTCTTTTTACCTCTCCCAATGAATTGGGAATCATGAATCCCGCTCCTACCTCAGTATTGTTTCAGTGTTTGGCCTTAGCCAAGTCAGTGACGTGACGAATGAATGGACAGGCGGACAGACGAATGATCATCCTGATCTATCTGTGAAAGATCCTCTTGATAATGCCTAGTGGTTTTCCATTTTGAACACGAACAGCTATTATCTGACCTTCTTAATGAAAGAAGATGCCTAGGACCCACCATCCAGAGCCCTTTACAAAGAAAAAGCCATTTTCTCCCTTTTATCAGAAAGAAGTATTTTCCTTTGAGAATTTGTGCATATGAGGCAAACAGGTAAGTGGCTTCAGAAAAGATTCCTCAAATTACAGAATTTTAAAGTTGGAAGTGAACTTACCGCTCCCCTGGTCCAACTATCTAGTTTATATTGAGTTAGAATTCATTTCCCTGGTGCTTCCACGCTCTGGCCCACAGACTCCTACTTGCAAGGCCTTTCCAATGTGGGCAGAGCTGCCCTCACCATCCTGTCCACTTTTCTCTGAGTCTGCTCCAGTATTTCTACATCTGCCATAAACAATGGCGCCCAAACCCGCTGCAACTTTGCAGTGATGGTGTGTTCAGGGCCTCATTTCCCTTCTCCCTTCTCTGGCGGTAACACACCCATTAACGTGGCTTGAGTTTGTGTGAGCGTTTTCAGTGGCTGCTGCTGATTGACACTGTCTGTGCTATTAACCGAACCTCTGAAGTCCTTTTCCACACGGGCCACATCGTTCCCAAGCTGTATTTGTACAACCGGTGTTCGGATTCAAGTGTGGAAATTTACATTTCTCTGTGCTAAGAGATAAGTGGTTGTTCCAAATGTCAGGAATCTTACAACTTCAAGTATATTCCAGGAGATCCAGGGACTATGACTTAAGCCTAGTAAAGAAAAGGTAGAGCTGTTGCCAGGTTGGCCTGGAAGCTGCCATCACTGGGGGAAGAGAGGCAAGGGCCAAAGAACGAGAAGTATCTGTGGCGTCCCAAAAGGATGTTTAGGGACCCGGTAACCTTCGAGTGGGAGATCCCCTGACCCTTGTCCTGCCCCCGTCCATCATCTCTCTGCAGTCAGATAGCAACTTGTGGACGATGAGGGTGAGACATGCACGCTAGCTGTGGGACAGCCCCTTCCTATGACAGAAAACATAAAAGCAAAACTATCAGATTCATGAATCTTTGTGGCCAAGTTTTGGGGAGAGGAGTGAGGATGGAGGAGGCAAAGACGGATGGTTGGTGGGAGGGGAGGTCGGGAGGGAGAGGGCTGGCCTGCTATAGAGTGGAGATGACAGGAACACTTTTTTTACTTTCCTTTTCTTGCTCTCATTTCTGTGTTTTATTAAGGGAAACACAAAAGTTAAATTGTGTTATTTGTTTAAAAATGTCAAAGTGCATTCCAAGCAAGGGGAAGAAAAGCAGGAACATTACTGCCTAGACAGGGACAGTACTCTAATGAGGCAGATAGAGACCGGCGTGGTGGGGGACAGCTTGAGCTACAGACTACCCTGACCTCGGAGTCTTTTCCCATGAATCCCCTGGACCTCCTCTGCCACTACGGCTCTCAAAGGAGCTGGAGAACCAAGTGTCTCCACGCTTTGTGGGGTAAAAACGGGTATCCCAACCAGCTGCTGGAACAGGAAGGAAGTCAGGCAGGGCAAATAGGGATCCCCTCCTTTCACACGAGCCAGGTCTCCTTGGCATGGCAAGGACCACCCAGGGTGCAGGACGCTCGTCCAGCTAACGCACCAGGAAAACCAGCTGCCATCGAGTCAAGTTGACTCCAACTCATGGCGACCCCGTGTGTGTCAGAGTAGAACTGTGCTCCATAGGGTCGGTTTTTTGTTTTTGTTTTTTTTATATAATATTTTGTTGTGATTTGGTGAAAGTTTACTCAGCAAGTTAAGGCTTCCATTCGACAATTTCTGCACAAATTGTTCAGTAACATTCGTTACGTTTTTCACAATGTGTCAACATT